AGAATTGTTAATGACTAATTACAAAGCTAATGACTATTTATACTAGGAAAGCATTAAACCTATTTATAGCTTAATAACATAGAGAACTTGAATACAACAACAACGCGCATACTTGAACCCAACACATAAAGATCAAAATCAAGTATGGGGGACTGAACAGAATTACCTGGAAGGTTGAAGATTGAAGAAGACGACGATTGTTGGAATGGTTGATTGTTGAAAATTGAAGAAGTCGACGATTGTTCAAGTATGGGGGACTGAACAGAATTACCTGGAAGATTGAAGAAGACGACGATGGACAGAACCCTGGAAGGTTGGAAATTGAAGATTGAAGAAGACGACGATGGAGGCAGAACCCTAAACAGAATTAGCCTATGGTAATCTATAAACTACAATTACCTGGAAGGTTGAAGATGAAGACGATGGAGCGATGGATTGAAGGGTGAGAGCAAGAGCAGTGGATTGAAGGTTAATATATTGAAGAGAGAGCGAGAGCGATGAATCATCATCTTGGGGAGCAATTTTGCCTGAATCGTCGTATTGGAAACCGTCGTCTTGGGCGACGAGTGTCAGCAAGGATTAAATATAGAGGTTATTGATTAAAAACCAGCAGGGATGTAAAGGCTTAGATTTAAAACCAGCTTTAAAAACAAGTACTTTGTGTTTTAGAGTTTGTACTTTTTTAAGACTTCAAGTAATAAGGTAGTATAGATAAATATTATAACTAAAATAGCATTTGTAATTAAATAAACTATAATTATATATACATCAAACTTGCATAAATATTAAATATTGAATTTGTTGTACATTTCACCAACATCAGTTGGTGTAGAATTGTAGTGAAATTGTGTGAAAACTGATATAAAAATGGGATTTTTGTGATGATGAGATGTCTTTTACCGAGCAACAAATACACACCCAATTTCTTTAATAAACACGTTTAACGAAATTATACACATAACATAAATAATAAGTTTTCAAATATTATTATAAGGTCTTCTTAAAATAATAAGTTACACAAATATTAATTGTGCTATTAATTTTATTTCAAATAAATATTTATTGTTGTAGAAGCCTAACAAAAATTAACTTTAAAAATTAATCGGAAGTGAAAAAAATGGGGAATAGGGTGCGAAATATTAAAAGTGAAATCAAGATAATTCTAAACAAAATAATCACCAACTAATATTGGACTCTTTGATGCCCTTGGCCACCGCCCGGCTGCCCACCCACAGGCCCGACCATGGGTAGAAGTAGAGATGGCAACGGGATCGAAGATATTGGAGATCACAATTCCCATCTCCGTTCCTTGCTCCCTATCCTCATTCCCGTCGGGGAATAAGTTTCCTTCCTCTTCCTCATCCCCATTGGGGGTCGGGGATCCCTATGGGGAAATGAGATTTGTTTCCATTTACAAAATTTAATTTTCTCTATAATATCTTTATAAATGTCAATTTTTGCATTATTATTTTAGAACTTCAATTAACCAAATGTTAATAGTTATGTTTGCACAAGACTAGTTCAAAAATAAATATATTAATTACAATATTTAATAATTCAAATTTTATACATCCACATTGTTATATCACCAAAACTTTCTCCTAACAATCAAACTAATATTATAATATCTTTTGAAAATTTTCTCATCATCAAAGATTGATTATATGTACGTGTTATATATATATACACTAATTCGATTCGTCATTATTATAATACTATACATCAAAAAATATATTTATACACTCTACATAAAATAAATTTTTACAAATAAATACACGGGGTCGGGGATCGGGTTTGAGAGGTATCCCCATGTCTCGTCAACTTGGGGATTCCTCGGTCAGTACACGGGGTCGGTGATCGGGTTCCCCATCAGGTACATGGTTTTTTTTTTGCCATAATATAAATAGAAAATGAGACTAAGATAATAAAACTATATGTCGTTGTATATGATCCAGAGAGTTTGAAAGTACATATGAGTTCCATTTATAGTATATAAATTATACATACTTCAAAAGGAAAATATGAACTATTTTTTACCTGCAAATATATCAACCATAACAAATACGAGCCTTTAAGTAAAAGAAAAAAAATGACAGTTTTTATTCAGATATGGGACACAGTATAAGCCAACCCCTTGATCAAATCTCTTTAAGATTTGGAAGTAGACCATGCATAACCAACCTTCTTTATTTGATAATGGAAAACCACTTTATTTTTGTATACGAGTGTCTTTCTTTAGTTAAAAGTTCACTTGATATTTGGGTTGTCGATTTGGAGAGAAAAGCCCGAAATGTTTTTCCGTTTCTGCTCCGGGCTTTCTGTTTTCATCAAACATGGCAAATATATATGTCTCTATAGTTCTTCCTGGCTTCCTTGGTGACCCTGTCGTGCTTTTCACATATTTGATCAAATTGTTATTATAAGTTCCAGCATTTTCCACAATTGCTGCACGACCACCTGCTGACTGCCATCCACTCTCCGACACAACAATTTCCACATTCTCTCCACCAACACGTGCTTGAGCCGCATAGTGAGCATCTAACATGGCAGTGAAAAGATTGGAGTACAGTCGACCGTTATCATTCACAACCGTTCCTGGTGCAGTGAACAATGCATATGGAAGATTTCCGTTAGGGTCGCCAAGGTAACCAAAGTAGGGGTAGATGTTGGCAAGGACTGGCAAGTTGTTTGCTGCTAGAAATCTTATTATTGGCTCTATAAATCCTCGCACATTGTCATTAAATGCACCATTGCTCGGCGGAAAGGAATTCACTATGAGACCGGTGTAGGTTGCAGTGGACACCTTGATTTGATTCCCTAGTCCCGCGGCTCTAATGGCACCGTGGAGATTTCTCATGGCCGAGAGTACAAAATTGGCGAATCGCCTACTTTCATTATTTGGATCGACTTCATTTCCAACAGCAATGTATCTGAACCTGACTCCAGGGAAGTTCTGGATGTTGTTTCTGACCCACGTGTTAGCAGCATTTTGATCGTTGAGGGATTGCAGAACATCATTAGGAACATCGAGGATGAGTTCAATATTTGTTCCTTGCAGAGCTCGAAGAGTAGCTTGATTTGGATCATAGATTCGCATTCTAGTTATTCCATTGCTTCTGTAAAAGGTCACCACATCTTGCTCTGAGGGCAAACCATCACCGACTCGCCCATTGCACACGCCTACTTGCGCATCTAATTTGCAACAAGTAAAAGAAAAAAATATTATTCGATTTGAGACACAAATTAAATTTTATTAAATAATTATGTATAACGTTTAAGTATATAAATCGAGTACAAACATGTTATATATATATATATATATATGTGTGTGTGTGTGTGTGTATGTGTGTGTGTGTGTGTGTAAAACATTGATAGAATACCTACTTTCCTCATACACGCTCATTTTGGTTAACTCCCGTAAATGCTCTATCGACTTGTATAATATGCATAATAAATTAAATATTTTATTTTTGATGGTTCATTTTTATAATGTTTTTATTATTAATTTATGGGTTTTAATCTAAACACCATCTTATATAATGTGTAGTCTTTCATCAAATATTTATTATTTATTTTAAATTTATGGTAAAATAAATTTTAGGAAATAAATGATAAAAGTAAAACTAAAAATAACGCTTGGTGCACAAGATATACAACATCCTAGCAAGGGATGTGGAATACACACGGAGCCATACACATTACCTATAAGAATATGGTCAAAATAAGAAAACACGAAAACGACAAAATCATATAACGGAAATCACATGTGATTACGGAACATGGTCATTACAGGAGTGAATGCATGAATCACATGTGATTTTAGTGTAAAATCACATGTGATATGCATGTTCTTGTATTTTTTATACCATTCTTGTTTGAACCCAACTATATATATATATATACACACACACACACGGACACACATAAAAGTATCTGGATGTACAAACATAAAAATCACATTAGTTAAGGAAAAAAAACATGAAACTCGTATTTCTGGATTATGAGTTGATAAGCTGTATAACGGGAAGGGAGAGAAAGACCTGTGAACACAAGAAGGTTCATGAGTAAGCCGAGTAGTATGAGCTTTGATGCCATGGCTTTCGTTTTATGAAATTTGTGTTCGAGATGCAACCATATATATAGTGGCTGAAATCCACAAAATCATTTAGTTTTGTGGAAAATTTAGACCAATTAAATTTGTTTTACTTGTTAGTATATGCATGAACCAATAAATTTTTCGTTTTTTATATCGAGAGTAACCTCTTAAACAGGTAAGTGGACGTTTTCCACATAATGAGTTAAGGGGTCTCATTTTTTAAATAGTTTCTCTTATTGAAAAGTCTTCTATTCGAGAGTCTAATGTATTTATTCCAAGTAGGTACAATCGAATAATGTTGTTAATAATGTCATATTTAATAGAAACTAGTTGTGTACCCGCGCAATGTGGCGGGAACCGTGAATTTTAACGATTTTGAAGTTTCATTGGTTTTATTAGAGATAATTTAACGATTATATAAGTTACATTTGGTCTTTACATGTTAATACAATTTGAATAAATAAGAGTTATAGTTTCAAATACAGTCTATCGATGAAAAAAATTGTATGACAGTTTAAAATCTAATATATTTAAAATCCAACATGTTTAAACGACTCCACAAATGTATTCGATTTACATCAAGAGCAAAAAAATCAAGAGATCGAGAGTTCTAGAGCAATTGAATGAGAAAACTTTTAATAATTCATGGTGAATATTAGTTTGAATCTCATCTTGGGGGATGTGGAGAATACATAAAGGTATGAGAGGGTGATGACATGAGTGAAAGACATCAAAAGTATCTTGGGAACAAGAAAAGAAAAGTAATAATGTGCATTAGTAATTTGTATTATATGTTATTTTAATTATAGATTAAAATATTTTAAGATTGAATGGATAAGGTAGTGGTAGTACTTAATGCATTATGAGTTGTTTTTAAGACTTTTAAGAGTTTGTGCATAAATGTATAGTACTTTATGCATTAAAATTGTTTTTAAGACTTTTGATAAATCCGGTTTATAAAATAGAATATATACTTAATTATATTACTAGAAGCGTACTCGCGCAATGCAGCGAGATACAACATGTTTTTAATATTTTATTTTATTATTTATCTCAGTCGATGTTATAATATGGCTTTATGTGATTTTGAGAAAACGATGATGTTTTTATTTTTGAATAAAATATATGTTTGACGATATCATAAAAATTTGACAAAAATATATCGATATTAGTATCAAATTAACTATT